TCCTGTTATTTCTCACCCTCCTGATACAAAATAAAGATTTTCAGCTCGGAATTCGTGCGTCAGACTTCTCAGGGACCAGTTTTTTTTTTTTTTGTTTTTCTTGTTTATTCATGCTGGGAATTGATCAGAATATTTAAAAATACGTTCAAATAATTCATTTTTTTTCTTATTTCTCCCTAAATCTTCCAATTTTCACCATTTAATAAATTTTATAAAAGAACTTTGTTTATTCATGGGAATGGATCAAAATATTTTAGAATTGATCTAAAAATTCAAAATTCTTCCTATTTTTTCTTATCCAAATATAATAAAAAATAATGACCAATTTCCCAATTAGGTTTTACTTTCGCCATTTATTAAATTAATACTTTACCTTCCATTTTCTTACATTTTTCTATTCTTATATATAGATTAACTAATATGTTTTATATAATATATTCATTTTGTTTTAACATCGTCTTGTATCTTGTTCTGTAAATATTATGTTTCCAAACAACAAACTACTTTTAAAAAAAAAATGTTCTCAATGAAAGTGATGTTTTTGCCATTCTTATATCAGAATATCTGAAGTTACAATTCCCTATTTACAAACTGGTAGTTTGTTTTGAAGCTAAAATTTGATGAATTAATTTTTTTTACAGAACATCGATGATACATTTTCTTATAGGAAATAAAGCATACTCATTCAGTATGCTGAATTTGTTTTATTTAAATTACTAGTTAAGGATTATATCCTCGCTAACTGAGTAAATTATGGAGTAAAATTAAAAAGGGAAAGGAATAGAGGGATTTGGTTAAGGAATTATTCAGGATTTAAAAAAGAAAAATAGAATAATTAATTTTTTTTTTAATACATTTATTTGAAACAAAATACATCAAATCTTGTAATTTCTGTACAGAAGCGCTCTAGTGTGAGTATAAGAGCAAAAATATATGGAAAGTGGTTCCAATATATGGTATAATAGATTAAAACAAATCTACACAGAATTAATAAATTTGCCATTTCTATGGAATGATCTTCATTACAAATATAATTTTTATTTATCTTGTATTATTATAAAATAATTTCAATTATTCGTGTAACTATTACATAACCTTGAAAAATCTAATGGACATATGAATAACACACTATTTTGTTTTACTTTTCAACTCTTGTATCAAACAACTTTAAATGTTTTCCTGAAAAAGGATTGTTTTACTTATAATCTAATTACTTTTTGAAAAGTATACATACTTATCACCTGACCATATTGATTCAACTTGATGCAATACTTATTCAAATATGATGTATTTATTTTATAATAATTACAAGTTTTAAATAACATGAATAATTGTAATACCAATAATAAAATTATTACAATAATGATACAATGATTACAGGAATGAAATTACAGAAATAATTACAATAGTGAATAGAAAAATTAAGACAGAAAGTTCTTGTCCAGCTTGGAGAGTTCTTGTTTTCTTTGTGGTTTGTTTGTCAATGGTTCCATTTGCCTTTTTGCCATTTTTTTCCAAAACATCTTCAATCAGCAGAGTAGTTTATCATTTCTAAGCGTTCTCTTCAAGAAGGTAGTAGAAACCAGCTGAATTCCTAAAAAACATATACATATATACATGAGTTATTGTTTCATTATATATAAATTTTTATATCAGATAAGTTTTTAAAAATTATAAGTTCTTTGCAAATAAATACATTTAAATACTTTGTTATTGTATACAAAAGGCTTTTATAAAATGTATTTTTGAATGAAACATCATTGATCTCAGTAAAAGTTCAGTTAGGCTTGTTTTAAATTAGTTTAAAAAATATTTTACTATAAATATTATTTTGTAAATAATAAATATAATTATAACTGAAGATTGTCAATTCATCTATTATTATTTATTTGAGAAGGAGTTGGCCAGTGGTGTGTTCAAATTAAATACTATATATTATAATAGTATTTTACTGGATATGCCTATATAATATTATTCAATTTGACTGCACCCCCGTCCAACTCCTCAGATTATAATCAAGGTCAACCATCTCCACACTATTGTTATTTATGATTTAAGGTAAACGTACCAGTAATAGACAGTATTCAACTCATAAACTGCTAATATAGCTTTATAAATCTGTACGAGTTCTCTTCTGGCCTTCAAATCATTGCCTTGATAATTACCCACATGCTTGGGTTGAAACGTAGGCAAAATCAATAATTTTTTTTTTTTTAATGCACATCCTGATCATTTTTCATTTATGATTTACAATTTCAACAATCAATTATATATCCATCTCTGAAATAGAAAAAATAAATGATATCGATAGTTTCTATAATGATTACAAGAATAATTACAATTAAATGTAATGAAAAATTACAACTATTCAACATGAAAAATTGTAATGGTTCCCATTAAATGAATTTGTCTTTTGATTCTTCATCATCTTCAAGTTCTTTAGCCATATTGGAAAGTATACAGTCTCATTCTGGTGTAGGTGTGTTTCTAATTCCTTAGAGTGGTGGTTCCAGACCTCTGATTATGTATACATAGGTGAAGACTGCATGCCCCCAATTTGGAGTCTTGAAAATATTAATTTTTCTGATGACAAATGAAGAAAATTTCCATGGCGGAATATCTTGTTTCTGATCATTGATAACAAAATATTTTTTATGAAATAGTTTACCTCTTACCTTAATTTGGATATTGTATATTGCATCTCAAGTAGAAAGAAATGTTCATTTTACTTTTAAGCCTGTTTAAGATGGCAGGTTGTTTCGGAATGGTATAACTTAGTTTTTGTGCAATTTGAAATTTTCTATTTACCAATCAATATCAATATATTTGTTATTAATGAAGTGGATAAATAATCATAATATGATAAATTGTAACAATGTACATTTCTTCTGAATTCCATTAGTCCAGAATATAAATTTTTAATAAGCTTTCCCTTATTTTATTTATTTTTCATGACTTTTTTGGGAAATCAGAGATTGTTGCCTCTACGGTATGTTTTGAATTTTATTACACAGGATATACCAAATAAAAAAAAAACTAATAGTGAAATATAAAGTTATAAGGATAAAATACAATCAATTATCAATTGATTGAACAACTAACCAATTTAACTTGAAAAAGAAAACATTTTTAATCAGCAAAGGGATATAAGAAACAAAAGATAAAACAGACAATGTTTATTTACTTACAAAGGAAATTAAATGTATAAATGCAGCACCTATACATTTACAGATTTACTGATAAAAACAGACATTTGAGGGAAATTTTTTTTACTAATAGAATTTGTCTTAACTCTGAATACAATAAACCTCTTAAGAATACTGTCTTTAATATTGTGACAATTAATAAAGTGTTCTGCATTAATAGAACTCATTTTTTTTTCAATGAAAAATGTTTTTGAATCACATCTTACTGAGTTGATTTGGCTCACATTGGTTTCGAAAATGGCTTAATCCTTTAATTGTTTACTTTATTTTATTAATATTGTAATTCAGTTGTTATGAAAGACAAAGATGAAAATTAAGTTTGAAACTTGGTTATAGAAGATAATTTCTATAATTTGAGCCTACTAGCTAATAGAATTTTTATTTTGAAGTTAGTGGTTTCAAGTAAATTGAAATTGGTTTTCCTTTAGAGTTATTGTTATTTTCAATATTTAAAATGTGAGTATAGTTGATGATCCTTAAATGATAGTTGAATAATCTTGATTAAACATTAACAGTTTTAGAATTTCAATTATTATAAAAACTAAGGAAAATAATGTTTCATTTCAGAACTTTTGCAGCACAACAATCTATTTCTTAAAAATCAATCATGATGAGTACCATATCAGTTATTCTGGCATAAATGAAAACTACTTTTAGTTATTCAAGATCTCAATAAAGCTAAGGATCATCAACTATACTCAAATTTTAAGTGATGAAAGTAACAATAACTATAAAAGAAAACCAAAATTCAATTTTATATTAGAAACTACTGACTTAAAAATAAAAATTCTTTTAGCTAGTAGCCTCAAATTATTGACATTATCTTCATATAAACAAGTTTCAAACTTGATTTCCATATTTTTCTTTCATTCACACACTTGGGATGCATGATTACAGTATGTTCTGGTGTGTCCATATTTCTGACACCTCGTGCACTGGGGAATGATTTTTTTTTCCCTTGATTTTTCAATTTTTATTCTTCTATAGTACAAGAAATTCATATTGAAGATATTATCATTATATGTCTCTTTAGAAATATCTATGAAGAACATAGGTAAAGGTTTTTTGAATCTTGAGAGGACATTAGTGATATTGCATGCCTCATAACCATTTATTGATAACTCCTCTTTGATAATTGAGGGTGGTGTGGCGTGACGTAACCCTTTTATTACCACTCAGGGCATTTTGTCTTCAAGGAGCTGATAAGTGTGAAATTCAGCTCCATTGCTCTTCAGGCTGGATACCAGTTTTCTATATACATCAGATGTTTCTGGTAGAATTACTACACCCCTGATGTTGTTTTTTAGTTTGAAAGCATTGTGTCCAGCTTCATTCTGCAGAAAAGATACTAGGGCTGTTTAATTTGAGACTCCCTCTATATAAATAAGCGGTGGTCTTACCTGTTGACTTTGTTGCGCCTCATCATTTGATTGGGTTAGAACTTCAAAACGGTTGCGAGTTGGAACACACTAACATGTTTTTTTGGCTGTATTTGAATTGTTCTCCGACGTTGACTGGCGCTTTCGACCTGTTACGAGCTCCCAGTTGTTGACAGTAGCATTTTCTTCGTTATCTGAAGCGTCCATATAACTAGCCGGTGGCTGCTGCTTTGTGGTACATTTTTCCACGAGAAAAACTATATTATGCTGTTTGGAATTGTTCTATAAATAACACTAGGTTGTATTTTACGTTTTTAACGAAAATAAAAACACTTAGCACAGTTTCTGTAGACTAAACTCAGCGCGCACATAAACAATGAGCTTGACGTGAGCAAGGCCCTTAAGGCAACCTCACATGCGAGTAGGGATGGGTCAATGGAACTGGATCGGGAACGGGAACTTAATCTCTCTGTGGAACGGAACGGAACTGTTCCAACGACTGAGAATTATCGATACCGCCGGTTCGATAAGGAACGGAGGAACAGTTGGCAAATCGTTCCAGACCTGTTCCAATTCTGTTCCAACTGGATCGATAAGGAGTGGGGAGGACGGTTAAATAACGAACGGAGAAATGGCAACTCCTGTTATTTAAATAATTATCTTATTTTAATTATGTCCCACTATTTTAAAAATAAACTTATTTACGAAAATATTAAATAATTCAAGTTCTAAAATGTTTAAAAACCATACACACAAAAAATTGGTAATCTTAATTATCCTAAAAACAGGAGTGCATGAAACTTTTTACATTTTTATTTTAACATACAATAGTACATTACCATAAGTAGCATCTACGTTTCTACTAATTTTGTTTCGTACATTTTTTTAAAAAGCATTTGTAACAATATACATTTTTAAAAATGAAAAAATATTGTAATTTGTAAAATACTTTGCATGTAATTATTAATTGAATTATATTGATTTCTTCTTAATAATTCTGTTTCCAAAAATATAAAGATGTTGCAACGAAGAAGCCATAACATATAGAAACGAATACTTTAAAAATTTGTTTATATTATTAAAAATATATTAGTACTTGTTATTATTACTTCTACAATTTTATGAGAAAAAAAATCGCATTTTTAGACACCAACATTTATCCTTGTTTTCCTTTTTAAGTATATAGCCTTGAGTTAATGTCTGTTCTGCAATGTTTTAAATAATAGATTATTTTGTAATGTCTTTTTCATTAGAAATTACATAATTTAGTTTAAATATTTATTATGAGTTTCTCAAAAGTTTTAAAATGAAGTTTTGAAGGCATCTAGAGTTATCAACGATGAACTGTGTTTATAAATACTATAATAATAAATAATAAAAGGCTTAGCGAACCTTTTAAGTATTTTTAAATATATGGTAAACAGTAATAGAAGGAAAGAAATAAAAGTTTTTCTGTGACAGTTTTTTTTAGTTTACCCAATTCTTTCTTTGTAATTAAAAACTTAGATGCTCATGGCTGTATGTACTATTATAACAGTACAAATTATAACAGTTTCCTTAAATTCTTTTAAAGATTGCGAGGAATTATTTTTTTATTTATTACACTATTCATGTTCATAGGGAAGAATTCATTCTTGGTTTTCTCATTCAAAAGTATTCCTTTTGTGTTTAACACTGATTTCATTTAAAAATTTGTTATAGTTAAAATCGTAACATTTTAAAAATAATATTTAAAAATTATCTTCTGCTCAAAGTTAATGAAATAGGATCTCTTGATTGTAACTGATTGATCGTGATAAATATCATGAAAGAAATATTTATTATTCAATCATTATTATTTTATCGCAAAAGCCAACATTTCAATGCAAACTTCTGGGTCTTCTTCAACACTGAATTTAAATCAGGTATACAAAAGGTATAGATATGTGTATAGTATAAAAACAGAAGTAAATAACAAAAAGAAAACCTTAATAAATTAAAGAGTGAGATAAAATAAGAGACAGAAATGTAAATAATAATATAGATACATATTGTTTTATTATATGTATTGCTTAATTTATCTTTATTTTATTTTTATCATATTGGTTTTTGTATCAAAGAGAAGGAAGGAGGAAACAAACAATCTGAAGTTCAAATTTTATTTTTGTAATAGTATATTTGTGTTGTAATGTATAACACTTTTTCACAAGATTTAATTAGTATATATTTTGCAAAATTGCACTTAAAACAAATAAAAATAACCACTTATATTATGCTCATTTATAATATATATTTACTATAAAAAGAATACAATTACCATACATAATTTAAATTTTGATTCAATTAATTATACATTGATTGGTGTTAAAAAAAAAATACTTGTTTGTCTTTTACAATATTTCTGCTTATAATAAAATGTTTCTTAATCATCCAACATATGCAATCCATCTGAGATATCTAGAACACTAAGAAAGTTGATTTGTCCAATTATGTTGAATATTCTATTTAAAAATTTCTAATAAATAGAAAAAAATCTTAAAAATAAAGAAAACTGTGGGTAACTAACTTTCTGGTAGTAATTTGGACAGTGCAAAATTGAAATAAAAATGCCAAAAATCATACTTACAACAATTTCTTGAATAAAAATCCTATTTATTCATAATTACTTTATATGTGTTTGTTACCAATCCCATAAATATTATATGAAGTGTAAACTTAATGCAAATAAGCATTATAAATTATGTAAAAACAGGACTAAACTTGATTACATATCTCAGATCATTGCATGTGCTGGTGTTACATCTCATTTTGCTTATATAAAGGTTTTTTATCTACAGTTTTTTTCTGGAATACACCTTGGATTATGATTGTATCACTGTTACACAATAAGACTTATTTCATGTAAATAATAATATATAAGGTAAATGTATCGGTAATAGACACTTTAAGAGAAATGTTCAACATTAATTTGAACCAGAGCTTTAGTTCTGGAGGTGGATCCTTGCAAATAGGTTTAATTGACAGCAAATTTAGTCGCTTATCCCAGTTTTTTATATATAGTCAATTAGTTAATTATTCATGAACAATTAAAAGGATTCTGACAATGCATTTTCTACAAGTAATAGACACTAGGGTTTTAGGGGTAAATAGGATGTTATATAATTAAAAAAAAAAAAAAAAAATTCTCCACAGAGTGCAACTAAGAAATGTCAAACCACTTAATAATGAATACAAATTTCAAACTCATCTCCTAAAGAATAATAATAAGGAATCCTCCTTCAAACAAACCTCAGCCTTATATTATTAAGAAATCAACTACCAATCGGCCGTTGTGGCATGCTATCACGTGAGGTTCAGGCATCACCCTCCTAAGTGATCCAGTTCCAAATATACTCATATTTGCTCTCTCTTTTTGGTATATAAAGCTTATTAGCGGTTTATGAGTTGAATACTGTCTTATTACTGGTATGTTTACTTTAAATCATAAATAATAATAATGTGTAGATGGTTGACTGTGATTATAATTTGAGGAGTTGAACGGGGGAGGTAGGGGATGTAATTGCATTAAATAATATCGTATAGTGTTTCATGTGACCACACTCCTGGCCAACCCCTTCTCAAATACATAATAGTAGATGGACTGACAATCTTCAGTTATAATTATATTTATTATTTACAAAATAATATTTATAGTAAAATATTTTTTAACTAATTTAAAATAAGCCTAACTGAACTTTTACTGAGCTCAATGATGTTTCATACAAAAATACATCTAAAAAAAGCCTTTTGTATACAATAACAAAGTATTTAAATGTATTTATTTGCAAAGAATTTATAATTTTTAAAAACTTATCTAATATAAAAATTTAATTATAATGAAACAATAACTCATATATATATTTTATGTTTTTTTAGGAATTTAGCTGGTTTCTACCACCTTCTTGAAGAGTATGCTTAGAAATGATAAACTACTCTGCTGATTGAAGATGTCTTTGGAAAAAAATGGCAAAAAGGCAAATGGAACCATTGACAAACAAACCACAAATGAAAACAAGAACTCTCCAAGCTGGACAAGAACTTTCTGTCTTAATTTTTCTATTCACTATTGTAATTATTTCTGTAATTTCATTCCTGTAATCATTGGATCGTTATTGTAATAATTTAATTATTGGTATTGCAATTATTCATGTTATTTAATACTTGTAATTATTATAAAATAAATAGATAATATTTGAATAAGTATTGCATCAAGTTGAATCAATATGGTCAGGTGATAAGTATGTATACTTTTCAAAAAGTAATAAGAGTATAAGTAAAACAATCCTTTTTCAAGAAAACATTTAAAGGTGTTTGATACAAGAGTTGAAAAGAAAAGGGCTTATCTTCCCCAAAACTTAAGATTAGCAAATCTTATATTTACTTCTACTCTTAATAATACTTTTATTTAAAGATGTATTTTGCTTGTGTTATTCATATTTCCATTACATTTTTCAAGGTTATGTAATAGTTACACGAATATTTGAAATTATTTTATAATAGCACAAGATGAATAAAAATTATATTTGTAATGAAGATCATTCAATGGAAATGGCAAATGTATTAATTCTGTGTAGATCTTTTTATTATATTATACCAAATATTGGAAACATTTTGTATATATATTTGCTCTTATACTCACACTAGAGTGCTTCTATACAGAAATTACAAGATTTGATGTATTTTGTTTCAAATAAATGTATTAAAAAGAAATTAATTATTCTATTTTTCTTCTTTAAATCCTGAATAATTCCTTAGCCAAATCCCTCTATTCCTTTCCCTTTTTAATTTTACTCCATAATTTACTCAGTTAGCAAGGATATAATCCTTAATTAGTAATTTAAATAAAATAAATTAAGCATACTGAATGAGTATGCTTTATTTCCTATAAGAAAATATATCATCGATGTTCTGTAAAAAGAATGAATTCATCAAATTTTAGCTTCAAAACAAACTACCAGTTTGTAAATAGGGAATTGTAACTTCAGATTTTCTGATATAAGAATGGCAAAAACATCACTTTCATTGAGAACATTTTTTTTTTAAAAGTAGTTTGTTGTTTGGAAACATAATATTTACAGAACAAGATACAAGACGATGTTAAAACAAAATGAATATATTATATAAAACATATTAGTTAATCTATATATAAGAATAGAAAAATGTAAGAAAATGGAAGGTAAAGTATTAATTTAATAAATGGCGAAAGTAAAACCTAATTGGGAAATTGGTCATTATTTTTTATTATATTTGGATAAGAAAAAATAGGAAGAATTTTGAATTTTTAGATCAATTCTAAAATATTTTGATCGATTTGCAGCATGAATATAGAAGAAAATCATACTGAAATACTAGAAGTAGATATTATAAGAAAAAAAAAAATTTAATAATAGGTGAAAATAACACTTAATTAGAAATTTTGTCTTTATTTTTCTGATATTTGGATGGAATGAGAAAAAACAAAAAGCATTTTGAATTTTTTGAACAATTCTAAAATATTTTGATCCATTCCCATGAATAAACAAAGTTCTTTTATAAAATTTATTAAATGGTGAAAATTGGAAGATTTAGGGTGAAATAAGAAAAAAAATGAATTATTTA